AAGTACTCTATCATTGTACCAAGTAAATAGTCTAATTTTAATTTTAACAAATGTCAAAAGAGCTACTCATTTTCTCAAACTTTGATGAATTTTTAAAATCAAACTATTTGTCTTAAGGCCGTAATATTTCAGTAAGTTCTATAAGACCATGGTATATATCGCTAAAAAAAATTCCATAAAAATCGGCTTAAATTTTTTTTTCAACGGTTAATTACAAGAAAACGGCTCGGTAGATTTTCACCTAAAACTGATCAGTATCATTCCCAACTAATATCTTTCGAACAGTTTTTGATTTTTTAAAATCGGTTCGGTAGGATGAGCTTAAATGTGGACGAAAAGTTTAACACTTTTTTTCAAATTACAAAGAAACGGCTTGGCTGATCGTCGCACAAAACTGACAAACGATAGTCTTCCCCGAAATACATCAAATGGCTTTTAAATTTCTGAAATCGGTTCAGGCGCTTTTGAGAAAACGTCGATCAAAAGTCTAATTTTGACAAATGTCAAAAAAACTATGCCAATTTTTGCAAACTTTGACGAATTTTTAAAGCTAAACGAGTTGTCGTAGGGCCGTGATATTTTAGTATGACCTAGAAAACTATGGTATCTACCGTCAAAAAAAAATCATAAAAATCGTCGAATTTTTTTTTAAAAAACGTTATTACAAGAAAACGGCCCGGCCGATCTTTACCAAAAACTAATCAGCACGATTCCCAACCAATATCTATCAAATGGTTTTTGAATTTTCAGAATCGATTCAGAATTGCGGGCTAAAACGTGGGCGAAAAATTTTTCACTTTTCTGCAATTTACAAAGAAACGGCCCGGTCGATCGCCGCACAAAACTCAGAGACGATAGTCCTCATCGAGATACATCAAATGGCTTTTAAATTTTTGAAATCGCTCCAGCCGTTTTGGAGAAAACGTCGATTTACGGCAAAAAATCTGTTCACACACACACACACACACACATACTTTTTCCAAATTTGGTCTCATTCGATTCAGAATGGCTTGAAACGTCGAGAAAACATAAAATTAGCCATTCGGATTTTTTGATGAAAACATAAACTTCTCCTTCGGGAAGTTAAAAAATAGAAAAAATCTGCATTAAATAATATTTCTATAAAAAAATAGTTAAGAACACAAACAACGAACGCTTTGAGATTCGAGCACAAAAAGTGCTTTTTTGCTAATAATATTTAAAATTTTAAATCGAAAACAGTATGTCGAATACCTATATTATTAAAATTTTTATGGTAGTTGAATTTTTTTTATTATAATTACGAAAACGTTGCTGCATTGAATATGCATTTGTTTCATTTGCTAAGCATTTGTATGAATATTTAATTTGATATTTTACCAAAATCAAAGTCATTAAAGTAAAAATTTGTAGGTAATTTGGTTATAACAAGGTTAATATTTTGGTTGACTTTCTGAATAAATAAGGAAGATTTTATAATTGTTATAATGTCTTCTACCTTTAACTTAAATAATGATGTTGATATTCGTAACACTACACTACATCAAATAATCTCCATTTACTCAAGTTAACTTTTATATTTCTTTTCAAATATTATATGTTTTGTTTTTTAATCTTACTCAATGTTTTTTCATATATTTTTTTCTGTATTATGCCTATTTGTGTTTTTGTGCAATATGTGTTATACTATATTGTATTTTATCAGTATTATATGTATTATTTGCATCTTTAAGTCCTCTTGGAACTATTCTGTGAGCTATGTGTTTAAAAAAAAAAAAAAATTAAAAAAATAATTATATTGTATTACCTGTAATTGAATCGAGCATTTAATAAACACTATATAATAGAATGAAAATAGTATGCTACCAGAAGCTATTTATATTATATCCAGTATATTTCTATCCGTTCATCTGAAAATGTTTCCCCGAAACTGCACAATTCCGGAATTAACCATTATAGAGATGACACATGTTCTTTCTTCCCGAGTACTTATGAATATCTTAAAGTTTAACGACGTCGGGAAGATAATGTTTTACAAAATTGTCATAAAGTCGTGTCGAAAAACTTCCGTGGTAATTATCATTTGTAAATCTGAAACTTTAAAGCTAGACAGTTTGTATTATATGATATGTTGGAATATACTACTAGAAGTTCTTCCTCGAGATTTTTACATTATACGAGCGAATTTTGTAACTTATTTTATGATTAGGACTTTTATAAAATATCAAATATTCATAATCAAATTTTCAACTTGATTTTACTACGGTAATTATTGTACACTTTTAATAATTGTGTAAAAACTTATAGCTTCAACATTTTAACTCTAATTTAAAAGCAACTATGGTTCAAGATAGAAAATGAGTATTAATTACACGACTAATTAAAAATAACAAACATTTTCATAAGAATGCTTGTCAACAGCTTCTGACTGTAATTAAAATCTTTAATTATGAAATATTTCGACGAACTATGAAAGTAAAATATAATTAAGGGAAAAAGATAATTATCATTATATAACAATATAACGGTATAGTAATATCGTTATGGTAGATAAAAATGGGAAACAGAAGTATATGATCAGGTAAATAAAATTAAAATAAACTGAAGCTCATTTATATTATACCTTCAATATTATATCAGATAGATGTATTTCACTATATAATGTATTCAATCGACTAACTATTATTTAAGTAAAATATTTATATATTAATTTATCATTATTGTTTGTTAGTTTGTAATGTAAATGTAAGTTTTTTTACAGTACTTTATAAGGCATGATCTGTTTCAGCATTTCTTCTAAAATATTAATTGCGTAAGGTTAATAATATTGTATCAGTTCAAGAATAATAGTTCTATCAATATAATACAATTCAGTTTCAATTCGAAAAAGTTAATTTATAGGGTAGAGCGGAGCTTAAAGGCCCACGAGTGAAAAGTAAACAAGTAAAGTTAGGAATTTTATAACAATATTTGAAAGTAGAGGGCAAAAGATGTATAACCAACTATCACCTAGATCCTTACAATGTCGATATCAAGAGAAAACGACAATGTTTGAAAATCCACAACAAAAGTATTTTCTTTCGTTGTTAGTTTTCTTGGCTGTGAGCACTTTTGTTTAGTTTATGAGACCAGAATATAATTTTCAGGTATGCTTTATTTATTTCTTTTATAGGAATTATTGTTATTTGCAAGTTATATTCAACAGTTTTTTTTATATAACTTATAAAGCTTACATGTGGGTGGGGTAAGAAGATCCACCTGAGTTTTTATCCTGGCAAAAGTGTGAACAATAAAAAATAGTGAATAAAAAAAATTAAGTAAAAAAGGCAATTCTACAATAGATAAGTTGAATTATTTAAATTTTGCCTATGAGTATTTCTAACAAAGTACCTGATCAAGGTTATATACATCTGTGTTATCTCTAAAACAATGTAACCATGATATTTATATTTTGCATTGGTTGAATAATGTGGCTATTATTTCGTAAAATACCTTTAAAATAAAAATAAGACATAAGACTATTTGCTGTCTGGCTGTCCCATCTTGCCCCCCTATGTGGTAAAAAGGACCAGGTAACAAATTTTTGAAAAAAAGCAAAAAATACTTTTCTACAATGATGAATTAACTAGGAGTTTCTTCACTGAACATAGTTAGATAGTTGTTTGTTTGATATGTGTTATTTGTTGTGATATAATCAGTTCGGGTTTCACAATATAATTGCTCAAAATCTAATTAGACCTTTGTGCCCCCCCTACCCTATTTAAGTTGAAGAATAATTGCTCTATCAATATATTTGAATAGAATGTAATTATGCAATTCGACAACTGTATAATTTTAATTAAAGTCTGATCAGCTGTCCCATTGAATGTACAGAATTATGCAAAATTTGCAGAGAAAATGTGACAAAAGAACAAAGTCTAAAAAATGCAATGGACAGACAAAATGATAATTTTTACTAAACTTTTTTTCTTAAATTACAGTACCTAAGTATTTTTAATCTAGCGTGACACTGATGTGCATTAGCTTTATCGTTCTTGCAAAAGATAATTTATCCATAATATACGGCAACTGTTTCATACTTATACATTAATTTTTGACATTAAAACTTTTTTATAATAATGATAATAGTTCGCCCGAAGTTAAAACATGCAGAAACTTCGATCTAGTACATATTCCGTCGGAATATTAAACCGTCATGCGTCCGCTTCGAAAATTCTTATGAGAGAGTTCACATAGTTCGTCTGTTATTATAAAATTTGTATTTTAATAACGATTATTTGAGAAATGCAAAGGAATTGAATTATTTATTATAAATTTCTTCAATATTTGATAAATATATGGAAGGAAAAATAGCTTTCCTTGAAGGGTCTGAATTATTCTGAATTGTTTACATAAAAAGCGATAAACTGTTATAAATAAGGGTATATTATAATGTAAGACAGTATAAAATTAACAACTTTGTTTTTTTTCTGTTATGGTGTCCTAGAACTCAACGCCAAGCCAAAGCGCTACTCATCATAATTATCATGATAAAAAAATAGAGAAAAAACTTTCGCAGTTTGAAAATTATGAGCTTTTAAATGCATTAGTAAAAATATGACTATATTTGACCATAGTCAAAAATAATGATTTACTAAAGATTTAAAAAATTATGAAATTTTGTTAAACTATGAATTTAAAAAATTCTAAATTGATCGACTTTTAGGGGACCTACTTTGAAAAATGCACTGAAGAGTATTGGCCAGTTTCGTCAAAAATTGGTGCATTTAATCACGATTGTAAAATAGTGATATGCTTCAAGTTTTGTAATAAAAAAAAATCGAGTAAAGAAATAAGAATAACAAAAAAACATTATGTCACACAAACAACACTCCGAATATTTAATATTGAACTCTAAAACTTGCTCTATTCCTTTTTGAGATTGAATACTTTCAGTAATTTGAGTTTTTACACAGAAACAAACTATTGTAGGACAAAATATTGTAATTATTATCGGTTTCTAGGGCAAAATATTGCAATTATTATCGACAAGTTTTCAAACCATAAATGAGGCCAAAAAATAAATGATTTATAACACTTTTGGGAATTTCCTCCCTAGGACCTTTACTAAAACATGAAACAGTATTAATATAAATAGTTTCCAGATATACATAAATTGCGCAAAATACGTTTTGATACACTAGAGATATATATAATTTTACGTTATATCCCTGTTATAACAATTGTGTTTCTAAGTATTTTCTAAAAAAAGGTTTATTCCCTTTACTCAAATCGAATTTTCACGAATAGTTATACTTCAAGAGCTTTTTGGTTTCATAAAAAGTGACATTCCCAAATTACGGTTATATTTAATTGATAATTTCTGTATTTTATAAATTAAATGTTTAACTATTTTATGATAATGCTGTGGTTTATTGAAGTAAAAAATGTAAAATATTCAGAATTCCTCGACGCCTTTATATAATTATTCTATAAATATATACCAAAGAGGACCATCCCACAAATCGGGACATATTAAGATATGGTGAGGATATGATGAGTTTTATATTAAACAATGTTGCAAAGTTATATCTGTAGTTAAATGACTCTAAAAGTTGTTTCACGTTTACAAAAAACCATATAAATAAAATGGGGTTTCCATTTTATTTATATAATAAAAAACCAAGTAAAATAATGGGAAGATAAATGGCAAGTATCATGTTAACTAATTGGAGATAAAATAAAAACATTTTTAAAATAACATTTTTCGACCCGGTTTATAATGGCGTACAGGTATATTTTGGATGTACCACTTTGATTGCCAACTTCCAATGTATGCAGCTATATGCACTTTCTTTAATTTTATACGGGCATTTTGTGTTATTTTTGCAATCATTTGGTAAAGCTTTAATAATTTTAGATTGACGTCAAAATTACATATTGATTAAATATAATCAACATGCCTTAGAAAGTATGAAACTCTAAATAAATTCTCGAGTTCGTCATATTAAAAAAATCTCTTACATCAATTAATTTCCATTTACCTTTTAATCCCGACGAATATTAAAGTCGAAGCAGCAAATCCAATTAATTCCTTCATTAAAGTATAATAATGAAGTAAAATCACTTACCATTGATCACGGGGGTCCGGCAGCGATCGATGCACCGAGATGAGGTCGCTGGCGTACTGATTAAAAGCGTTTTTCACCCATCCGTCATCAACGGCTTTCTTCATCTCGGCGCTCATATTAGCCGGCAATTGCACCGGCTTGCCCATCTCGCCGGGGGCGTCCAGGTTGGGATTCTCGGCGGGGGCGGGCAGAACACCTCCGTCACCTGGAAGAGAATATAAATAGTCATAAGCATTGTTAAGGATTATACTGAAATGCTTTTATTATCATTTTTGTTCAGAATTCGTTTCAAATACTTTTAAAATTGTTATATTATTTACTACACCAGATATTACTGCATATTAAGTTTTTTTTACAATAACCTCAGTAAATTCGTATTTTTCAATTCTTTCATTATCTATTTATTATTTCAATGCGAAATGATACTGATCATTGCACAATATTTTTATCTTGGTTTTAAATTCATTTACCTTTCCAAAGAAATGAACAAGGTTTACAGCTCTCATCCGAATTAAACGAATTATAGATTTTTTTCTAATTTTGTAATTGTGTTAGTATTTACTAGAGTTTGTCGGTTTTTAAAAACCGCTTTTGTTCTTATAATATAAGACAAATAAGAGGTGCATGGCGTGCCTTAAGGCAAATTGCTAGAACTTTTCGTACCGATATAATATTTTTAACAGAGAATATTTTACTTTTTTTATTGGACCTGCCCAAAAATTTAATCACTTCTTCCTTCAGTAAATGAATTTAATATGTTTTTTGAATCATTTAAACCAGATGCTCCGTTGACTCAAAAACTAAATCGACATTTCTTGCACTTTTGCCCTGCCTTTGTCAAAAAACTAATCAGCAAACTAAATATTTGTATAGAAGAAAAAATATTTATAAATTAAATCTATATAACATTCGCAATTCTTATACGATAACCCCTAATATCATAAATTTCTATTCGCGTATGTGTATCACCTATACCTAAACGATACCTAAACATTACATTTTACTTGGTAATACGCCTTATAACTACTATATCATACGTTCCTTTACCACCACACCGTATACGCTCAATCCTTATATCTATATATATATACTTATATCTAAACCGCCTAACATTTATTATCTTACGCCTACAATTTCGCTTACATACTATTTTCACCCTTACCGGGAATCGAACCCGGGTCCGCCCCGTGATAGGCTACGACCTTAACCACACGACCACCGTATCGCTACAATCAACCGTCTTTTTTCGTGTGTCGTCGCGTCACATTAGTATTAGTTACTCAATTAATTAGAAAATGAACCAAAGAAACAACAGTGTGTATCATAATGTATTTTCAGTGGGGAGACCCGATAGAGTAGTGGTTAAGATGCGTGACTGTCACGCAGAGGAACCGGGTTCAATTCCCGGTATAGGCAATAGATAGGTAGAGAATACATAGGGCGTAAGGTAGAAATATAACACATTAATATTAAATAGGTATGTAGGGTGTCTGATATATATATATATATATATAACTCACTGTATAATAGATAATAGTTAAATTATCTATGATATATAATAGTATAGTATAATAATAGTAACATTATCTTATCCCAAATTTAGTCTTATATTAAATAAGTTTTATATCATAATAAATAAGCGTAGGTATTAATAAAGTTAATATCCAAATCAATTTATGTTATTAGTGGATATAAATTATGTACTCAATGATTTCCTTATACTTATAATTGATCAGGTTTTCACAATATTATTGCCCTAAGTCAAATTGGACCTTTGTGCCCCGCCCTACCATATATTTAACTCCCGTAGGGCAAGTTATAGTAATTGCAAAAAAAATCGAAAATGAAAATTTTTATAAATCTTTACGTTTCAAAAGTTTCTGAACATTTTGGCATACCTTAGAAAAAATAGGTGTTTGTGTGTTTGTGTGTGTGTGTGTGTGTATGTGTGTGTGCGTGTGTGTGTGCGGAAAACAAATTTTCGTCGACGATTTCGGGAACACCGATCAACCGATTTAAATAATTCAAAAAACATTCGATTCATATTGATAAGGAGACGTGCTGATTAGGTTTTGGCGAAGGCAGGTCTAGCCGTTCCGAAGATACGGGGCAAAAAGTGCCAAAAACGGTAACTCAGTTTTTGAGAGAACGGAGCGTCCGATTTCCGAAAATCATTTTACTTGTATTGACAAGATGAAGAATTGATCAAATTTTCATGAAGGCAGGTCTAGCGGTTTCGGAGATCTAAGAAAAAAAGTAAAAAAAATGCCATTTGGCAGTCAAAAATGAACATTAGACATATGCACATCAAATTATCAGATATTTTATAGAGATTTTAACAATAAGTATAAATTTTGTTTGCTTTCCTATGGGTTCCGTACCAATGTTTATCCGTTAGACGGCGACGCGGCGCTTACGCGCTTTTACATTTTGCCTCTATGCAGTTAAAGCAGTACGATTGCTTTGAAAAAAGTTCAGAATTTCCAAAATATGTCAAAATAAAGAAAACATTTTTTTTTCCAAAAATAGTAATTTTTTGTCAAAGTCCTAGTTTCTCAAAAATCTAATTTTTTCGAAGTAAAATTTTTTCAAAAATGTTAATCGTTTTTAAAAAAATAATAATATTTGATACGGGAAGTTCCAGCAATTCGCCTTAAGGCACGATGCCATGCGCCCCACTAGTTTTTATTATCTTAATGAGTATCAAAACTCTATCCAAGTAAATATACAAATATAAATTATACTAATTTAGTATTAGCACGACCGTACCCTGTGTCTCTCATATATTGCTATACATATTTGTAACACCTATTTATTACCCGAATGAATGTGGAAAAACTGAAAATAAATGGAACACATATATAAAATATGTTTTCTTCTGTATCTAAAAGATATTTGTCGATTCATCCTATCTGAACTTAAAGTCAATGTGCTTTCCATGTTAATATGTTTTGTCTAGCCCATCAAATATAAAAGCAAAGTCTATCCATTACTCAAGATTGCGCAAAATATACATTACGACCTTTTTGTTGATTCAACGTGGTTTGTAAATATGAATTGTAAAATGAGATGCCCGTTACCTGGCCAAATATCATTTAACGGAGCCCCATAATGGGGATGGTCAACGGCGGCCGACAATAAGTAAAACATAATAAAGAGCGGAGTCAGGCCAACAAAGTGAACATGGGGTTGACAACATGTAGGGGAAACCCGAAAATGGATAAAACTCGCATCTGGTCATTATTGTATTATTAAATTACAACCGGACTACGGATGTTTAAGCACATGTTAAAAACAAGCAAAGAGATAGAAAGGCGAGGAGAATTAGGAAGTTTGAGAGATTTGCATTCTACATGTTGCTTATACGACTTGTTTAATTAAAATTTATGTTTCGACAATTCATAATGCTTATGTAAAAACTAGCAATAAGTAATCTTTGACATTTTAGTCTAATTCACCACATTTAATACCACTGGGCCGCATATATGCTCTACTGTTAATATTTCTTACATGTGCGCTGTTATGCAAATATTAGATCATTTCTAAAAATATTGTTATGAATAACTTACTTAGTGAAGTGGGTATATATAGATATAATAAATAATACAAATAGTTTAGTATATTGACTAATGTGTAATAAAAAATATGCAGTGCTAAATCAATCTATAACGCTATAAAAACAGACTATGATAAATAGAAGAAAACAAATATGAAAATAAAAGCCAACCCTTAAAGAAACATAACCCTGAAGTGATTTTTGTTTGAAGTGATTTTTGTTTGTTTTGTTTAAAGACAAGACGGCAGTTGAGGTGTTTACAGAATAAAATTTAAGTTTTGCCATTTGATGTTTTTTTTTCTTTTTAACTTCCCGTGGGTTAAGTTATAGTAAAAGCAAAAAAATCTGAAATAAATTTTTGTTTTGAATCTTGACATTTCAAAGGTTTCTGAGAAGGTCAAGAAATTTTAAGATACAAATAAAAATTAAATAAACTGACATTTGTCGGTCAAATATACTCTAATAGTTATAATTATTGATTCTAATACAACTATTGGTACATATGTATTCAGGTAAACAGGTAAGCAGGTAGATAGATCAACAGGTGAACATGTAGAAAAGTTGGCAGTAGGCAGGTAGACTGGTAGACTGATGAAGACGTGAATAGGTAGACAGATAAACAGGTAAATAGGAAGGCAAGTAGACAGGTAGATTGAGAAAATCTAAAGATATACATGTAAAAATATAACATACAAACACATATCGGTTCAAGTTTCTTGAGGCTGCCAGAAGGCAAAATGCCACTTACAACTAATTAAAACTTAGTACTACATACCAGAATAGATGAATATTATATATTTCCTTATATCTGAACTTTTAATTATTGCAGATACCAAAAACGTAAGTCAAATAAAATAAATCTAAAATCCTAGTTTCAAATGAATGTAACGATGTTGAATATTAAATTTGTACAAAACCTAATTCATACAAAAATTAATTGCAATACAAAAGATTAGAATCAAATTTTATTCATGTATGTAATTTCAACTAACAGTAACAAATCTAAAAAAATAGCAACTAAATCATCCTTAACAATTTCTCAAAAAACGATGTGTTCTAAATAAAATTTCATTCCAAACCTTTCTTATTTTCACGCAGATCTTTTAAATTAAAAAATCTGCAACTCGATTATATGAAGGCTAAGTTAATAGCTAAGTTATTTAAATACCAATATTGTACTACAGAAATTATGGAAGTTAAACTATTAATTCAAAAATCTAAATTTGCTAAATTTTAAATCTGAAATGCTATCATTAATTCAATTGGTAGTAGTTCTATTGGTAGATTTGAAAAAATAGTAAATGACAAAATATAACCCCTCTACTAAAGTTTGTGAACAAATATCTACTGAATATATTCCTTCTACAGTTATTTTTTCCTAATAGCAATCAATTTATTTTCCCGTCAAATTCAATTCCAGGAAGAATGCAAAACTCCTTTGTTTTATCTCCTTGAATCACATATTCTGCTGACATTATACTTATATCATTCCCATGTAACCTGTTAGTGTGTAATACCACGTGAAATTAATCCCAAAAATGTGACATAGGAACCCCTTCGTGGCATCGTGGCCCGCTCGGTTAACGCATAATCGCGGGCGCTGCTTTAATTTACCGCCCAAGGTACCTACAGAATACCGGCAGCAGAAA